TCTTACTCTCTCTCAAGCCACAATGAGTTTCTTGTAGCTCTTAGTCTTTGATCTCTCAGCTTAAGCCTTTTCTCTAACTGGAAAAGTCTACTATTCCTCACGGCTTCCACTACTACCACATTGTGGCAGTCAAGCACTGTGTTTCATCTGGATCATGGCCAAAGTCTCAAGCTTGCCCGTCTGCTTCCACCCTTGTCTGGTGTGAATATAATAAAGCAATTGGATCCAGAATATTAAAAGACTACTCAATTTTCAAAAAATGCTGATAAATTTGACTAAATACTTTGCAAAATATTTCAAATATGCATCTGAAAAAATCTGGATCACTGGTCTTTTGGGAGCTGCAAATTAAAAACATAAGAAGTTACTACTACAAGAATGTGAAAATGGCTAATTAACAAAGAAAAATTAGGGGCTGGTACAGGGGCTCAATAAGCTAATCCTCCACCTGCAAGAGCTAGTATCCCATATATTAACACTTTGTGTCCTGGCTGCTCCATTTCTGATACTTATGGACTGGAAAAGCAGTAGAGCATGAATCGAGTTCTTGGGCCCCTATAACCACATGGGAGACTCAAAGAAGTTGCTGGCTCCTGGCTTCAGATCAGCTCAGTTTCAGCCATTGCACCCATTTATGGAGTGAGCCAGTGCACAGAAGATTTTTCTGTCCCTTCCTCTCCTGTAAATCTGCCTTTTAAAGAAAAATAAATAAATCTTATTAAAAAATAAAAATATTTCTACACTGGAAATAATCCAAACTGGTGAGTAAACAAACTGTGATATATTCACATAATAACATGTTATTCACCAATAATAACAACAAACTATTAATAATGCAAGAACATGGATGGATCTTAAAAAGCACTGTCCAGGGCCTGGTGTGGTAGTCTAGTGGCTAAAGTCCTCATCTTGCATGCACGAGGGTCCCATGTGGGCGCTGGTTATTATCCTGGAGGCCTTGCATCCTATCCAGCTCCCTGCTTGTGGCCTGGGAAAGCAGTTAAGGACGGCCCAGAGCCTTGGGACCTTGCACCCGTGTGGGAGACTGGGAACAGGCTTCAGATTGGCTCAACTCCGGGTGTTGCGGTCACTTGGGGAATGAATCAATGGATGAAAGATCTTCCTCTCTGTCTCTCCTCCTCTCTTTATATTTGACTTTACAATTAAAAAAAAATCTAAAAAAAAGTCAAAAGTAAAAGTCTTCTAAGTGCATAAATGCATGTATGAAATACTGGAAGCACAGAAAGCAGATCAGTCTTCACCACAAGCAGAGGCAACTGAGAGAGGTAGGAGGGAATAAAACATAGTTTCATTTTGTATAGTAATAAACTATATAAATTGTCTATAATTTATCCACTCTACCATAACAGAGATTTGAGTTCTTTGCAGATTTGAAGTATAAGATTGACAGATCTACAAGGAAAAAGAGAAATCCATAATCATATGAGAGGATCTTGATTGTAGTGATGATTATACAACTCTTTCCATTTGTCAAAACTCAGCAAACTGTACACTTAAAATTGGTGAATGTTATTACACAGAAATTATACCTCATCAAAGCTAATATAAAAAATGTAAAAACATGCACCTGTGTGATCTTTAGAACTTCATGTTAAAAATTGCTTGCTCAATAAGTTAAGCCAATCTCCAAAGGACAAATATTATATCTTCTCTCTGATATAAGGCAACCTTTATGCAAAAACAAGATAAACAGATGTACAGGTAAATAAATATATACAAATATTCTCATAAATAAGCTGTAATATATATATATATATCTATATCTTTCCTCTTACCAGGTAGTGAAGATATATCACAGTATGAAATCTTAACTCCTGAGTGAAAGGACTCCCAATGAAACTAATAAATATACCTTGACAATAGGATACTAGATTTTCTATCATTGCCTATACCTACAACACCATCACACACTTAAATTGCAGAGGTTGTATTTGTGACTGTTGCTGAAGGACTGTACTATTGTACTAATATGGGGAGAAACAGTTCAGGGGGTCAGAGTTTGCAGAGGGACGAAGGGGAATGAGGGGGTCCTTATATCTAGAAACCCATATCATGGAAAATAATATACATAAACAAATAATAAACATTTGCTTTAAGTTTCAAAGCTTACAGTATGCATATGTAAAAAGGCATACAAAGTGATCATGTGTGGCTCAGCAAATTGTCACAAAGACATACAACCAGAGGGAAAAAACACCAGGAACACCCCCAGAATACCCATTCTTTCTAAGCAGAATTTTATGGCTATCTAACCTTGTAAGGACATAATTTGATATTGCTTGTTTTTAATCTTTTAGGAAACTGAAAAGTAAAATTTGTATCTCCAAAGAGAGAACCGGCCTTTGTCCTAGGCTGCTGGGAGCCAGTCTTTAGTCTTTGAGATGTACTGGTTAAGCAAGTCTTTTTACTTGGGGGTCCCTCAACCTCTCAAGGGACTGGAATTTTGAGTTAGCCACATGCATGGTCAAACATGAGTGAGTGCACGACTGAGTTTCTAAAATCTCTAAATGCCATGGCTGGGGTGAGACTTCCTGGCTGGTAGCACTTCATGTGTGTTGTTGGTCAAGATTGCAGGGAGAAGCCAGTTCTATCTACTACTCCGTCATGTGACAGCACTAAAAACTATAAGTGTGGAACTCTCCTGGGCTCAACTTTATGTTCTAGATCCTTGGCTGATTTTCATTTATACCTTCTGCTATAATGAACTAAATGTTTTAATGAGTCCTGTCAGCTCTTCTAGTAAATTATCAAGCATGAAGGTCTCACTAGAAATGCTGAATTGGCAGCCTGCGTCAGAAATATGGATGTTCTCAGGGTCCCTGAACTTTGCAACCGATGTCAGAAACAAGAGTAGTTCAAGAACTCATAAACTTTGCAGGCATCATGATACTATTTTGCATATAGCTCCTTTTATTTGTCATAATATTTTTGAGTTTCATTCATGCTTAGCTTGTATAGTTTTTCATTTTGTGTAGTAATCAACTGTATAAATTAATTATGACTTATTCACTCTATCCTTGACAGACATTAAGAGTCTTTGCAGGTGTGAAGTATATGACTGACAGACTTAGAAGGAAAAACAGGGAGATCTGGGCCCGGCGCGGTGGTGCAAGTGGTTAAGGTCCTCACCTTGCACGCCCAGGATCCCATATGGGCGCCGGTTCTATCCAAGCAGCCCTGCTTCCCTTCCAGCTCCCTGCCTGTGGCCCGGGAAAGCAGTCGAGGACGGCCCAAAGCTTTGGGACCCTGCACCCACGTGGGAGACCCGGAAGAGGCTCCTGGCTTCGGACTGGCATAGCATCGGCTGTTGCGCTCACTTGGGGAGTGAATCATTGGACGGAAGATCTTCCTCTCTGTCTCTCCTCTCTGTATATCCGCCTTTCCAATAAGAAAATAATAAAAATAAATCTTTTAAAAAATAGGGAGATCTGTAATCATAAAGGGAAATTCTAACCCATCTGTCTCAGCTGACATTAAGAAGAAAAAAATAATCAGAAGACACATTTGTGGGAGAAATTTGTTTAATTATTTGATGTAGTGACAAAGGAAGAGCTCTTCCATCCACTGGTTCATTCCCCAGATGGCCACCACAGCCAGGACTAAGGGCAAAGACAGGTGCCAGAAAAGATCCTGGCCTTGCACTTGAGTGTCAGGCCCCCAAATCCTTGGGCCATCTTACAAAGTGGATAAAAAGTGGGGAAGTTAGAAATTGAGCCAGCACTCTGATGTGTGGTGTCGACATCACAAATAACGGGTTAACCCACTACAACAGCAGCATCAGCACCAGTGATTTTTATGACAAAATTAGCACATTAGATATAACTCAAATCCTCAAGTTGGCCCAGGTGATATTCTTTGGGAATAACAGTAATAATAGATATGCTATCTATTGGTTCATTTCGCAAATGCCCATAATGGCGAGGGCCAGGCCAGGTCAAAGCTGGCAGGAACTCTTTCCAGGTTTCCTACATGAGCAGCAAGAACCCAGTTACTTTAACCATCACCACTGCCTCTACCATGTCCAGAATATCAGAAAGTAGGAGTTAGAAGTTTGAGCCAAGGCCTGGTGCCGTGGCCTAGAAGCTAAAGTCCTTGCTTTGAATGCACCTGAGATCCTATATGGGCGCTGGTTCTAATCCTGGCAGCTCCACTTCCCATCCAGCTCCCTGCTTGTGGACTGGGAAAGCAGGCGAGGAAGGCCCAAAGCCTTGGGACCCTGCACCTGCATGGTAGACCTGGGGAAGTTTCTAGCTTCTGTATTTGGACTGGCGCAGCACTGGCCGTTGTGGTCACTTGGGGAGTGAATCACCAGATGGAAAACATTCCTCTCTGTCTCTCCTCCTCTCTCTAAATATCTGATTTTGCAATAAAAGTAAACAATAAAATTAAAATAAAAAAGAAGAAGTAGTTTCAGTCACGCATCAAACCCAGGTCCTCTAATACCTGACACCTTAAATGCCATCTTAACCACTAGGCCAAACAAAACTCTGATTGAATAAAACGTTACTGAGCATTTACTCCGTGTCAGGTACGGTGTGGTGCTAAACTGACTATCTATGATTTTATGCAACAGTTAAAATCCCCCAAAATTCCTACTGACTGGACGTATGTTATTAAAATGCTATATAATTACTTCAGGAAGATGCAACAAGATTTCGTTCAATTGGTAACATTGTATAACAAAAGGTTATGCTGCATTCCTGTCCAATAGAACAAAACATTTCACCAGTAACTTCTATTTTTTTTTCATGATTTATTACTTTTTTTATTTGAAAGGTAGATTTACAGAGAGAAAATTAGAGAGAAATCTCCCATTCACTGGTTAACTCCCCAAACGGCTGCAACAGCTGGAGATGGACTGGTCCACAGCTAGGAGCCTGGATCGCTTCTGGGTCTCTCACTTGGGTGCAGTGTCACAATGACTTGGGCCACCTTCCACTGTTTTCCCTGGCTACACTGGCAGGGAAATTGATTGGAAACGGGGCAGCTGGGACTTGAAATGGCACCCATATGGGTTGCCAACACTGTAGGTGGAGGCTTATCCTACTATGATGCAGCACTGCTCCTAACTCCAGGTACTTATTAAAAACCATTCCTGGTTGTAAGGTGAGAAGAGCCCTGCACTTAAAAGGTTAGCCAGGAGCAGCAGACTGAATGTTCCCTAACTACTTCCAAATTTTTTGCAGGTACATTCCGTTGGTAATTTTCTACAAGTTTTCTCCTGCATTAAAAATATAAGTTAGTGTCCTGTTTTGTTTTTTAAAATCTGTATGTTTCTTTATTACTTGCCTTTTTAAACAAATCAGAGCTTTTTTAGAATCACACACCAGTTTCCCTGATCATAGTAGCTTTGCAGAATGCTGACATTACGCAAAGTCCGGCAGGTGGCTTCCAGTTCCCCCTCACAGAACACATGGTAATAACGATGAAACACAGTATGGGCGTCACAGGGTCCCACGGATTCCAATGGCTCCCCGGCTTTGTCTTTACCAGAACGTCCCTTCAGGTGCCAGGGAACCAGAACATCTTGGGAATGAAAAGAGGTCCTGTTGGTATGAACAGGGAGCTTGGAATTAGCCACTTTCCTTGAATGACACTCTCCTTCCTGCATATCCCTGACGGAGGGGACCACAGATGCCACATCTTGATTGCCCACTGTAGGCAGCCGCTCCACAAGTGACCCCTGGACAGATGTGTCACTGTTTTTCTCCTCTTTCCATCCTTGGCTAACTCTGTTTTCTCGGAGATATTTAGATTTTTGCTTATTATATTCCTGTTCCATTGCCCACACATAGATAAGGGCTTTCCCACCAGGTCTCAGGAGTCGAACAAGTTCTTGAAGAGCTGACGCTCTACGTTCCTAATGAAAAATAAAGAAACAAATATAAAAACATGTTGCTGTTAATCAATCCCAACAGAGGAAATGGGAATATACAACTGACTGCAGGGCTGTTTTCAACAAGAATGAACAAAAAGTCTAGCAAATGTCTGTGATGAGGTGAGGCCAGGTTGGAAAGGAGAATTTTGGTTTGTGACCAAGAAAAAAAGTGTTGAGCAAGTAGAGAAAAGAGGGTTTTTATGTCTGCTCATCTTCTCTGTGGGTTTCTCCTTAACTAACTGGCTGGGATACATAAAACTAATCATTTTATACTGAACCGTGAGGACTACTACGAAGCACTTACAGGTTAATCATTTTGTACATGTAATTCTTGTTGTATAAAAGCTTTGTAAACTTAATAAAAAAAAAAAAGGCTTTGTAAACTATCTTACAAAGGTGTCTGCTTAGTGCCTGGACGAAGTATTTGTATTAACTCTCTCCCTGAAAACAACCAGGGAGACTGAATGGACCAGATGGAATAGCTGCTTCAGGGCACTTGTGAGTCATACTAAAGGCAGAGGTGAAGGCGAAGCTCCTGAGAGGAAGGCTTGAACCAAGGTGAGCTCCACGTTTTTCCCTTGAGATCATCTGCTAATCTAACATTGTCAGGAAACAGAAAACATACCCAATTTCAGGTAAATTGTCATGTCAAGGATAAATGTAAAGGTCAACAGTAGCCACTTAAAAAACCAAAAACCAAAAAACAAGGGCCCACCATGGTGGCTTAGTGGCTAAAGTCCTCATCTTGCACGTGTCAGGATCCTATATGGGCACCAGTTCGTATCCTGGTGCCCTGCTTCCCATCCAGCTCCCTGCCTGAGGCCTGGGAAGGCAGTCAAGGATGGCCCAAAGCCTTGGGACCCTGCACCTGCATGGGACACATGGAAGGAGCTCATGGCTCCAGGCTGCTGCCTTCAGACTGGTTCAGCATCAGCAGCTGTAGCCATTTGGGAAGTGAATCTATGGAGAGAAGATCTTCCTCACTGTCTCTCCTCTTCTCTGACTTCCCAATAAAACCAAAGATAATAATTAAAAAAAAAAAAGATTTGTAGAAAAATAACAAAATAGCAAGCTAACAAAAAATCAAAATAAATATAATAAACAAAAAAAATATAATAAATCACATTAATACTATTAGGCTGGCAACCATATAGCTAAGATTTAAACACACACACGCACGAACTCTTAACCTCAGATAATGCCTCCCAACAAAACAACAGATACTGCACTCTACATCTAAATGGGTCACTCAGCATGGCCAAAATACCCAGCAAATAACTTCAAATATGTGTTAACAAAGGAGGAAGCATCTTCTTTAAAAAAACAAATTTCTTTATTTATTATTTGAAAGGCAAATTTACAAACAGGAGAGGTAGAGAGAGAGAAAAGGTCTTCCGTCTGCTTGTTCACTCCCTAAATGCTCATTACAAGCCAGAGCTGAGCTAATCCGAAGCCAGAAGCCAGGAGCCTCTTCCAGGTCTCTCACATGGGTGCAGGATACCAAGATTTGGACCATCCTTCGTGGCTTTCATGGCTATAAGCAGGGAGCTGGACTGGAAGTGGAGCAGCTAGACACAAACCGGTACCCAAGTGGGATCCTGGCACCAGATGGTGGAGGATTAGCTGGTTAAGTCATGGTGCCATCCCCAGGGGGAAGCATCTTCAACAGGAATAATTTATATAATACTGAATTAACTGGAGGAAATTTTGCAAGAATGTCTGGAATTCCGTCTAAGAATTTGGAAATAATGGAAATTTTAACAAAAAATATAAAGTATTTAAAATCTCTTCTAAGGAGTGACTGTTTTATATAAAGTGTTGAAGGTCATTATTGAAATAGTAATTAATGGAGACCAGCATGCTGGCATAGTATGCTGATCATCTACCAGTGGCACCAACATCTCTTATGGGCACCAGCTCATGTCCCAGCTCCACTTATAATCCAGCTTCCTGCTAACGGCCTGGGAAGGCAGTGGAGGATTGGCCAAGTCCTGGAGCCCCTGTACTCAAATGGGAGACCCAGAATAGGCTTCTGCTTCTCAGCTTTAGATTGTCCTAGCTCTGGCCATGGTAGCATTTGGGGAGTGAACCTCCCTCTCTCTAATTCCGACTTTCTTAAATCTTAACCAAAAAAGTAATTAATTGGGTTAGTATTCTGGTGTTGCACTTAAAGATGTTAACTGAAACAATGGCATCCCATGAATGCTGGTTCAAGTCCCTGCCGCTCAACTTCCAATCCAGCTCCCTGCTAATGGCCTGGGAAAGGCAGCAGCAGATGGCTCCAGTGCTTGGAATCCTGCATCCCACTGAGACCCAGATAAAGTTCTTAGCTGGGCTTTGATCTGGCTCCGCCTTCTTGTGGCCATGTCAGGAGTGAACTAGCAGATGAAGTCTCTCTTTCTCTCTCTCCTTCCTTCCCTCCCTCCCTCTCCTCCTCTCTCCTTTTTCCTTAGTTCCCCCTCTCTCTTCTGCTGTAACTATCTTTCAAATAAGTAAATCTTTAAAATATTAACTAATGTTTACTGAACACTCTATGTGTAAGACACTTTGACAAGCATGACGTGCATGCATTATCTCATTGATTCTGACAATCCTTACCATTTTCAATTTATAGATGCAAAACATAACTATTTAGAAATCACTAAGCTTATTTATACAGCTCACAAAGGTAACAAAACTGCAGAGGCAACTGTGTTAGGGAAGAGAATAATATTAGCATCAGAATATAAATAGATTTCAAAAAGAGGAATCTTGAGATCAGTATATAGAAAGAACAATGTGGTCAGGAAGCAAGGATGCATAAGGCAATGGAATAAGTTTATTCATACTTCAGTTATCTTGTCTCCAGAAATTCAAACTAGCCCTGTAAAAACTGTACTGGAGTCTAAGACCAGGCGCAGTGGCCAGGCAGCTAAAGCCCTTGCCTTGAATGCGCTGGGGATCCCACATGGGCATCGGTTCTAATCATGGCAGCCCTACTTCCCAACCAGCTTCCTGCTTGTGGACTGGGAAAGCAATTAAGAATGGCCCAAAGCCTTGGGACCCTGCACCCATGGGGGAAACCTGGAAGAAGTTCCTGGCTCCTGGCATCAGATTGGCACAGCTCTGGTCATTGCAGTCACTTGGGGAGTGAATCAGCAGATGGAAGATCTTCCTCTCTGTCTCTCCTCCTCTCTGTATATCTGACTTAGCAATAAAAATACATAAATCTTTCAAAAAAAAAAACCTGTACTGTAGTCTAGCAGTTATGACACAGCGTGGAACACCCATGTCCCATATCAGAGAGCCTGTGTTTAATCCTGGCTCTCATGTGCACCCCAGCAGCTGCTGATGACCTGGGTAGTTGGGCCCCTGCACCCAGGGTCAAGATCTGAATTTAGTTTCTGGCTCTTAACTTCATCCTGGGCCAGCTCTGAATACTGCAGGCAGTTGGGGAAATGAACCAGAAGGCAGGAAACTCTCCACCACCTTTCAATGCTTCTCAAATGAATAAAATACATACATTAACAATTTACAAAGCAACAGAAAACCACTTCCCCTTATTCAATCTCTGCTTCTATCCTAAATTGTCCTTCACAGTGCCATCAAATGATCCCAAAAGGCATGTGTCTGGTCAAGATACTTTCATATATAAGACCTTTCAATGATGCTCATAGTCCAAACTGCTTGTGGCATTCAACTAGCAGTACATCAGTCTAAACCACCAATCCAATCAGCTGTGCCTCTGCGACTGGTCTGTGAGCTTTGAAAGCACGGTATGAGTAAGTCACCAGGTATTCTCAATTACATGCTTAATATCGGCATGTAACTGATTTCTGATTAATTTTTCATTGTGGTAAAAGACATATAAAATTTGCCATTTTAACCTGTTTTAAAATTGTTTACTGATTTGTTTTAAGAGATGGAGAGACCAAGAAAGAGTGTATTCTCATTCACTGGATCACTCCCCAGATGGCCACAATGGCCAGGCCCAGCACCAGGCAGCCACCAAAGAGAGCACCCAGGACCTCACCGCCATGGACCTCTCCCGTATGGATGCCAGAAAGTGAATGTCACGTTCCAGAGTCCATACCCGAAGGAAATCGGAATCAGGAACGTGGGTCAGGCACAGAACCCAGACACTGGAATGTGGGGTACAGGTGTCTTGTCCAGCAACCTAGCCACTAAACCAAATGCCCACCTTGTTTTAATCATTAAGTGCACAATTCAGTGACATTAACAACACTCTTGCTGTTGCTGTAAGCATCACTTATGTTTCTGATATTTTCCATTCAACTGTACATGACATATTAGCTTATTAGGGTTTTAATTCACATTTATCTAATGATTAGTTCGTGATTTTGAGTATACTTTCTTGTAACCATAAGCCATTCAAATATCTTTCCTGGAAAAATGTCTGTTTTAATCCTCTGTCCATTTAACGGTTTTTTATTTTCTTTTTCTGTTGTCAGTACTATTACATCTTGGTAGTTCTATACATATTTTGAATTCCTTTAACTACATTCTCTCATCCGGTAAGTTGCCTTTTCACGTTATTGAAAGGATTGGGGCACAAAAAGTTCAATTTTGATAAAATATAATTTATCTACTTTTTCTTCTGTTGACTGTGCTTTTGATATCATATCTAAAAAAAAATCACTGCTAAATCCAATACTATGAGGCTTTTCTTCTTACAGTTTTATATTTTAGCTCTTGTAAATTGGTCTCTGACCCATTTTGAATTATTTTTTGTGTATGGTAAAAGATAAGAATACAATTTCATTCCTGCATGTGGTCAATGAACAGTTTTAAAAAATAATGTCAAAATATATGGAGAAAATGGTAGATAATTACAAGCTTTTAGCAAAATGACTATAGGATTCACACAGAGGAGGGGACCCAACCCACATTTGGAATGGTAAAAAACAGGTATGGATATATTGATGTATGTTGTCTTTGACAATCTGAAAATAAAGACAATTGACTGCCACTGAGTTATGGCTGCAGAGACCACTGGTACAGGTACAGACCGCGAGCTTCCTCTGTCTTAAGCTTTTCTGAAGCAAACATGCTTCTGAATGTACTGACGGCTGGTGCCTTTTGCTACTTTACACCGTTTACTGCAGCCCAGCAGAATCTCCTGGGTGACTATTGCAAAAAGTTGGTGATTGAGACACAAGTGCGTAGAGTTTTGGGATTTATTTTTAACTATGTTAGGGTCAGAGAGTCTACCCAAACTATAGGTGACTCACAGAGTTATTGCTTAGCTTAGGGGAGAAACTACTGAAAACCAGGGGGAAACAAAGTTTTTTGTTCTTCAATAACAATGTAAAATATAAAACTCACTTTTTTTTTAATTTTGCTCTATAGCTAAAAAAATATCGCTTCTTGGCCTTTTGGCTAAGATCAAATGCAAAATCTTAATAAGAGTCAGCTCACTATATTAGTTAAATAAGTCAGCAGTTTGGAAAAAAGAACAGAGAAGAAGGAAGAACAGTAAGAAGAAAGTGAGATTCCTGTCAGAGCAGATTACACAGCTGGACTGAGAAATGAACAGGGAGGAGAGACCCACAGTCTAAGGGTCTCCTTACAGGCCTAGAGTGGTCATCATCAAACTCTCTCCTGACCAAAATTTTGCAACTGAGTCTGCAGAAAAGGAATGAGATCTGAGGAAGAGAAGGGTCTAAAGCATACAGCAACAAGAAAAGGAGACTCTCCTCTGGCCTCTGTTTAGGAAAACACCATCCTCACCCAAACTTCGCTGCCTGTGCTCTTTCATGGAGAGGGCAAGTTGTTACAACACAGGAAAATAGAAAAGAAATGTACAGCTCACACAGGCTCCACAATCCTTGAACTTCCCCTTGCTTCTTTGGATTGAAGCTCTTAGGAAAAGAAAGACAATACTTACTGCTGTTGCAAAATGGTGGACTACAGCAATGGAGATGCAGGCATCACATGACTCGCTGCGGATGGGCACTGCCAGTGCATCACACACCAAGGCCTCAAACTGCTTTTCTCTACAGATGTCCACGAGGTGCTGGCTGCGATCACAGCCAATCTACAACAGACCAACAGAATTTCACAGGAGTTTGTTTACATGCCACTGGAAATTAAGCTATGGGTTTATTCCATACCTTACATCATCAGAGAGACTCCATTTTCACTTTGAAATGGTCTGAGACCATGACATTCTCAGTCAGAATATGTAATTATTCAGAGCACCAGTTACCATCTTACCAAATATCAAACAGAACTAGATTAGTGAATGGAAACAAGATGAACAGGAAAAATATAAGAACAATGGAAATGGGAGTTCCAAATTCTCAGCTAATTGGTCAACATTCAGCAGCTAAGTCTCTATGTAACATCACACATTTTAAAAAATGCAAGTTATGGGCTCAGCGTAAAAACTAGTGGCTAAGGTCTTCACCTTACATGCACCAGGATTCCATATGGGAGCTGGTTCGTGCCCTGGCTGCTCCACTTCCCATCCAGCTCTCTGCCTGTGGCCTTGGAGAGCAGTGGGGAATGGCCCAAAGCCTTGGGACCCTGAAGTCATATGGAGAGACTCAGAAAAAGCTCCTACCCCTGGTTTCAGATTGGCTCAGCTCTGGCCATGGTGGCTATTTGGGGAGTGAATCAGAAAATGGAAGATCTTTCTCTCAGTCGCTCCTTCTTTCCAATATAAGTCAATCAATCAATTAAGCAATCAAACTTTTTAAAAAATGGAAGTTATGCTATGAATATGGATAGCCAGTATTTTGGAGGAAGCTACAAAGAAGGGATCTAAGCTATCTCTCATTACTATACATACTATATTGTGATGGCCCAAATAGCAGGAGGGTAAGCAATTATTTGTTTGATGCTTTCCAACATGATTACCTTCACAATCAGAAAATACAATCCCCAAACAACAAACAAGAAAAGTCAGTTACTTCTTTTTTAAAATTACTCCATTTTGTTTCCCACTGAACACCCAACTTCAACAAGTATAAAGGGCAAGGAGGCTATGGGCAGGCATTGGGCCTAGGGATTACCCAATGGTTAATGTTCCTGCTTCTCATATCGGAGTGCCTGGGATCACTTTCAGCTTTCCTCCTGACTCCAGGTTCCTACTTACATAGATCACAGGAAGCAGCAGCGTGGCTCAAGTGACTGGGATCCCACAGCCATATGGGAGACCTGTACTGAGTTCCTGGCTCCCAGCTTTCAGCTGCAGGGATCTGCAGTGAACTAGTACAACTGAGCACTCCCTCTCTTCGTCCCACTCTCTCTCTCTGTCTGCCTTTCAAATATATATTTTAAATAAAGGTTTCATTCAAAATGTGAGTATGTAAAATGCTCTTTGGTTGTATAAACTCCAAGCAGATGAGATCTAAAATGCCTTATGTATCACTCTGGTTCTGTAGGAAAGACAGGAGGAGAAGTGTTCATCTTTCTAGTTTTGTCATTTTTGCATGCATTTTGCTACTTAGTTCTATGAATATCACATACATATACGCACACATATTAAAGTGTATACATATGCATTTAACTATATGTGCACATGTACACTTGGAAATAAATGGAAGAGGCTTAAGAAATATTAAATTGACGTTCTGTGCCCATGCTGAGGACGGCAGGCCCGTGAGGGCCTGGAGGTGCAAGCTCACAGGTGGCCTGGGGGAGGGAACCAGTGGGGGTAGGGAGCAGGAACTTAGGGGCTCACATCCAGGCAGGTGGAACAAACATGGGGATTTCCCCATGTCCTTGATTCAGGGTAGCTGGGGAGAGTAGAGAGGATAGACCTAGATTAGCATGCTGGGCTGGTGTTCTGGTGAACAGGGTTTGGGGAACTTTGAAAAGGCCTGGATCTTGTGTGTGGAGGAGTAAGGTCCCAGGCAAGTACATGTACCAGGAGCTTGGGACCCTAGTAGGTAGACAGAGCTCCAGACCAGCATACTACTCCATCAGAAGACTGGGGGTTGGAAGACCGGGATGGGGAACTCATGTGCTCCCAGGTGCAGCAACCATGGAGTGATCAGGCGCAGGGGAAAGGGAATGTGTGGGACAGAGGACCACTGAGGGAGTATGTTGCAGGTGAGGAATGAATTCTGAGGGACTTCCATCAACAAGGCCACTGTACTTGCAGGTAAGCAAGGGGGCTGAGACCCAGCACTCTGCATGAGGGAAGCTGCAAAACCTTTATGGGTCAGACCAACACACCAGCCCACATGGGACACCTGAGCTGGGCTAGTTAGCATTGGTCACTGCCAACTACCACCCACTGGTGCACACTAAAATTAGAGCTGAGGGCTTACCTGGCAAGGGGGTGGGTAGTGTTAGCCTTGACCATGACACTAATCAGCACAAAAGAGAACCAGGTCTGAGGGCAGATTCTGACAGGAATATATTGGCCCACTCCTATGGAATTACAATTTCTGCTGGTTTGCTTAAGGGCTGGCGTAGTGACAACCTGAGCTAGGCATGACCATGGACCCTCTGACACTCATGGGTGGTGGGGTTGGGAACAGGCTGGGCCAGGCCAGGCTGCAGAACTCACAGACACACCCAAGAATACAGTGTGGGCTGGGCCACAGAACCCACAGGCATACCCAAGAATACAGTGTGGGGAGGGCTGGGCCACAACATCTACCACCAGCTCATACAAAAGACTGAGACAAAGGGGACAGACTAAGCTGTGTGGCACTTGTGAGATCTGGGTCTGGGATTGGGCCTTGGTGGGGGAATTTGGGAAACTCCCCTGGTGCGCTATAGCTCCCACTGGTGAGCATATGATTCAGGCCTGAGTGTTGGTCAGGCTGAGCAAGGCAGCTCCACTTGTCAGCAAGTGTATGAGTTGGTTGAAGGGGGAAGAGATGCCAGGTTGGTATGTGGGTCATGCTGAGCAATGCTATCACACCTACCATTTTGTATGAGCCAGGAATGTGGGCAGACTGGGCAGGGAATAGGCTATAGTATCCACCAGCAAGAACTGGGACTAGGTTCAGGCCCAGTTACAGTACTTGCCAGCAAATGCCGAGGTGAGGTGGGCCAAGCCAGACTGTGTCACAGAACCCAGCAGCATATGCAAGACCCAGAGGCAGTGGCGGGACTGCGAGCCTGATAGGAGGGCTACATAAGTTTTTAAATCTTTGACAAAACATTAAATATGCAATTCTGAAAGTATAGGCAAACATAAAAAAATTCAATCTGTCAATAAAAGGTATAAATAAAACAGTTTCGTTTTTATCCTATCAAACTACCAAAACTATTTAAAACCAAAGCATACCTCATCAGTGTCATTGTGGTAAAAATATATTCTCATACGACACTGATGAAAGTATCAACTGGCTGAATAATTTAAGTTTAATTAGGCAAAACATCTTTTAAATAAGATAGGAAGTTTGCAACTTTTTAACCCAAAATTTTTCTTCCAAAACTTTATTCTAAAAAAGAAAAACTAAAAATATGTAAAAGTTAGTCAGGTTAATGCCAACTTTCTTTTCCTGAATACTCACTATGTTTTAGCCCAGATTCTTTGCATTAGCAAACTTAAACCTCATAATACACTTTTAGTTAGGTATTATTATTATTGTATTAAAAATGAAGGACTTTCATGTCAAAGGAATAAAGCAATTTACTCAAAATTGAACAAAGCAGGAATTCAAAAACTGATCTTTCTCACTCCAAAAACCCATATTCTAACATCTAAACCATTTGTAGCATCTAATTATCTGTTATTTGTGAGAATCACAGCTCTGATTCCACTGAGAGTTGGATTAGGAACATTGAGGGGAGGGTAGAGTAGCCCCACATAAGATGTACTCTGATTACGGACTGAATCAGTATCACTGTGGCATGATCCGTGAGAGTCATGAGGCTCCTTTCCTAAGAAACATTTCAATTTTGAAAACTGAGATATTTATATAAAAGTTTATTGTTACTAGAAAGGATAACTCTCTAAATGTAATTGTGGGTTCTCCCATTATGTTTCCTTTTATACCACCTAGGTTCACATTCCTTTAGCTTCTGTTAACAGGAAGAGAACATCTGTTATTTATCTGGAAAACAAATTTGGACTAAATGTGCTCGGAGATGAGTGCACAAAAGTGTCACTTCAGTGAATGAGCTGGATCAAGTTCTAGAAATGTACATGCCACCTGCTCTTGGTCCTGTTGTGTCACCTATTTTTGGTATTGTTGTTCAGGCAGTAGGTATAAAATTTTTCCTGAAAAAAGTTATCTCTGAAAATAAAACCAATACTTAATGCTATTTACAGAAATGAAGAGCAAGTAAAAAGATCTGAAAAACAAATGGATATTAGTTGGAAAATAAAAACTTCAAGTTGAAGACGAAAGAGGAAGATCGGAAAGGGTTCAGACCTATAAGCACAGATTCACCACATACATTTCTCACAGAAATGAAAAGCAGTTCATAAAGCTATTCTCATGAGAACCTAAGATAGTACAAGAATTGTTCTTTAATTATATATTATAGTAATATAAATACATGTTTAGAATTTTAGCTTCTATACATAAAGACCAAAAATGAATGTCTCAAGTCACCACTCCCTGTTCCATGAATGTGCAGAAATGCATATATTTTATAGCTCACAACTGACTGCTCAAAATTCACTCAAATATCATTGCTTCATTCCAGCTGAAGCCTTTGCAACTTAAAATAGGCAGGCTTTCCTTCTATCATTCAGAATTCCATTTCTGTTTCTAATGAAATTCTTGACTCCAATCAGTCAAGTAGCTCTCACTTACTCATTGAACCAATGCTAGAGGTCAGATAAGGCCATAGACTTTGGGGAACCACAGCCAGTGGAGTGCCATTGACAAAATGAATGTGGATAGGAAAACTAATGTATTCACAATTTTCCAATTTTTACAGATACATACTCTTTTAAAATTAGCTTCAGAATTTAAATTCCAGGAGCCTATTCAACAGAACTCTTTCTTCTCAACTGTAAAAAAAAAAAAAAAAAAAAAAAAGGCCCAGTGCAGTGGCCTAGTGGCTAAAGTCCTCAATTTGAACACGCCCGGGATCCCATATGGGCGCCAGTTCTAATCC